TACTTATAGCACAACCCATAAAAAAATATATGTTAAAATGTGATAGGACAGTGGACAACTATCCGTCAATTTTTGTAGAGTGTGAAAAAAAATAAAATAACAAATAAAAACTACGGTAAGATATGATATGACATCACTCGTCTAAACTGCGTTTAACATATCACTACTTTGAGTTTAAGCGCAGGCATCCAGGCTCTATATAACACTTTAATCCAATCCGGGTAAAAAGCCAGCCCAAAACATATTGGGCTAGTAAAAACTCAATTTTTCTTGGACTCGATATTGTTTTATTATTGGAATTTGGAGACGTTAAAGTTATTTTCTTAATATTATATTCGTTAAGGAAAATGTTTATGTGTCGGTACTTTAATGGTCAATTGGTGGCCCTACCGAAGGTGGAAAGATGTGTCAGATAAATAAGAATTAAATACAATATCATATTTTATATTGTATTAGTATTATTTAGAGGTGCACCAAACCGGGGTTCTTTTAAAAGCTGATCACTTTTGGTCAATAAAGTTAAAATCATATGAGTCCAAACCTGTTTCCAAGAAAAAAAAATATCTGAACGTATAAGAACCGGTTATCTCAACCAGTTTGAAAAACCCTATTTATTTGTTAGTATTTGGTATTTTATTAATTTTTAATTTTTCAAACATGTTTTTAAATCGGATTGGCGGTTTTTTTATGCACCTCTTATATTGCATCAAGATTCGACCAAATAACTGTAACCGGTTATACAACAAACAGATTATCGGTTCACGTATTTTTGCCTCAGAAGTTGTTAAGACCCAAAATGGTTTACCATTTTCTTGAAAGAATTCTATTATCACTATGATACTCTCTCCCTTGATCAAAGATTAGTGCATTAATCATTACTAGAATGAAAGTAAAAAAAAAAAAAAAAAAAAAAAAAAAAAAAAAAAAAAAACGATGGCGTGGAAAAGGTCACTATCACATGAAATCAAACTTCACACAACTTTAAAAGATTACACCCTTTTAAGGAACTAAAAAGCAAAGATAATTGATATGTTCCAACTTTCCCACTAACCAAGAACTTAAATCAACGGATTAAGCCTTATGATTAAGTTCTTAATCATATCCACAAAATCAAACGATTAAATACTCTATGAAACTTTCGACTTTAAACATATATTTACTACATGTTAACGTTCCTATTTACACCATAGAAGTTGGCAAAACTTACTAGTGATTAGTTGTTCAGTTCTCCTCGAGGTTATATACAGTCTTGACGTATTCTTCTGCATCCCAAAGAAACGACCCAAAAGCAACAGCCTCCAACACAAATCTTTTCAAGGTTGCGAATGATGTCAATATTACGTCATCAGAGTCCACGTCACCAAACAGCCCAAAACTATGTCTGGCGATGAGATTTATAGCCTCCTTAGAGTTTGGTTCACCGCATTTCACTAATGAATCAGGGGCAAACCCCATCAAGTATGAACTTAATTTCTCTTGTTTCTTTTTACATGTTGAAATTGTGTTGGGAGGTTGACCCAAGACCAGGTTTTTGTTTCGTCGGAGACTATAAAACTCCGGGAGGGGAAGGTGGTTGCCGGAGTTCAACACCATGTCATCAATGGGATCGGTGAAGCTCATCTCTAGTTGGTGGCGCAAGGTGGCGGATTTGAGAAAATACCCAAACAGTATGGAAGATGTGTAGATATGACGGAGATTGAGACGTTTGATTTTTGTTGTGGCCCAGTTGTCGGTGACACTAAAGTCTGGTTTCCATCCGATGACGGAGGTTAGATGTGTTTTTATCATCTCTAAGATCTCGGAGTTATGAATGGACTCGAGTTCCCAATCCTTTGATGGCAGGATTTCTAGTCTACCGTTGTAGATACACATTGAAAGCTTCGGGATTAGATAGACTTTGATTTCGGTGAATTTGTAGAGGATTAACATGTACATGACATCTTCTACTGCGGTTTTGCATTCACGCCTTTTCAGCTCTGCAATCCTCCTGTCGATTTACTTGAATTAGCAAAAATTAGGTTACCAAAACTGCAGTAAAGCCATAAATAGACCAGGTAGTTAGCATTAAAGTAACTGTAACTCGGAGAAATCACGTCTTGAGGTTTAGCAGATTTAGCTTATTAATGCGTAAAGTATCTGTAGATTGTGATTTGGGTCCATTTTGTAGCTTTTAATGGATGTTCTGTTTGTTCTAGATTATTAAATACGTGCATACTTGTCGATCGACTTTTTTAGTTTTACCCTCACATATCGCTAGAATTCACCTCATCATATGAAAATGAAACCCTAGCAACATGCGTTAACCAAGTGCAAATTGACATAAAACTGGTAGCGATTGTTGATTCTGTTTTGGAAATTATCTCAACTTAGAAACAGATCTGATGTTACTAAATCTGTTCTAGGTTTCTGTGAAGATATAGATGGAGAACTTCAACAAGTACAAGATAAATAACATCCGATCAAAATCCATGAGAATAAAGGTTGAAAATATTGAAGAACAGAGTACACACCTATGAAGATGAGCTTCACTCGAATCAGCGGTGAGTGACCTACGCGCGTAAGCTTCATCGAGTTCCGCCACCAATTTCTCCAACGTATCCGCCACAGCGTCATGAAACGACTTCCGTTCATTCAATAACACACTCGACAAAAACCTCCCCGCCGGCGTCGCCGGCTCAATCGGCGTATTCAAACTACTAAACTCACAGTAGCTACTACCTCCACTACTAAAACCACCATTATTTACTCGCAGAAGCAACCAAAACCGCCGAACGACACCGCTTCTCCACTGACAACCCGGAAAAAGTGAACCGATTATGTAAACGTCCGTTCAATCGAGGATGATTCTTCACCGGAGAAGGTAAAGAGTAGGAAGCGATTACCAGATGCTTGTTGACGTTGAAAGAAGAAGTGAGAGAATATTCCATCCGCAATAATTGAACAGTTGAAAATACGAGTGTGGGGGTTTGATTGAGATATATATACAGAAAATATAGTTACAGAGGTTGAAGAGGATAAGGATTTTGGGGATAGAGGTTTGTTAATAGGTTATCATAGTGAGTGGGAATCTATCTGGTGTTGCGTCGCTAGGACACGATACGGTGGTCTGACTCAATACGAACAATGACCTATCTTATCTTTACGTGAATATTTTACCATTTTCCCCTTTTCATTGTAAGACAACAATGTTTTTGATAGGGTATCACTCTTTTGTAAATTATTACTTAATTTCTTTTAGGACGACTATTTATTATTTAAGCCTTTTTCTAAGGCTCATTAGAGAAAGAAAGTATGAATTGATCTAGTTAATAACTATATAACTCTAAAATTGATTTAAATGGTAATCATAAATTTTTACTTAATTTTTTCAACATCGTATTTTTCTTTCTAAGTCTCAAATCCAACTACAAATTAATTATTACTATACAACAATGAGTGAGAAAAACAAACGGACAACAAATTATGTCGCTTAATTTATTTTCATACAAATTAAGAATTATTTCCAACAATTTTTGTAACTTGATGCGTAGAAATCAATTACATTCATGTGGAGAGAATTGTTTGAAAAATATTAATAGGATTTGTTTTTTTATAATGTCAATTGGTATATCATCAAATTCATATAGAATAATCTATTTATTTTTTCTACCAAATTTTGTAACTATCGTTTTGTAATGTTGCATTAAATTGTGGTAAATATCAATTGTTGTTTCGTTCCCATTTTTTTTATGGAGAAACCCGAATCGGATGTTTAGGCCAAGTAAAAGGCCGAGACCTTTTAAAAAAAAAAAAAAAAATCAAATATCCTTTTATATTTTTCTCTTACTGTCTCTTAGTACCTTCTTACGCATTTAAAATTATAATATTTGTTATATTTAATAAAGATAAATTTGCAAAATTGGTCTATGTGGTGTGGTTTGTCAAAAATTGTTACTTTGGTCCAAAAAATTTTAGACTTGTACCATCGGTCAAAAAACTTTGATTTTATAGGGAGTTTGATCCAATTTGTGCTGAATTTTTTTAAAATGACAAATTTGTCCTTTATATTTTCATTTTCTATTTCTTTTATTTATTTTAACTATTTTATAAATTAAAAAGAAAATAATCATCAAACCCCCTACCTATTGCTAACCCACACACTCACTTCTCTCTCTCTCTCTCTCTCTCTCTCTCTCTCTCTCTCCCCCCCTCTCCCCCGAAAACCACAATCACGACTGTACGAATTCATCACTGCCACCACAAGAAACCACATGTTATCGTCGTCCTTCATCTTTTCCGACAAGTGACTGCCGCAAAGCACCCGTCTGCCAGAAATCTAAAGAGGGATAGTGGGTTCTGAAACCCTTACTCTGAAGATCTTCGAAGTGGCGGCACCACTAGATTTGAAAAATCTAACGACGATAGCGACGTTTCTATGGTTTTGGTGTTTTAAGGGTGGGTCTAAGACAGATCTGAAAAATCGAGGAAGCATGGTAGTGGAGATCTGGAGCTGTTCGTGGTGACGATTTAGGGTTTTTTAAACGGCCGACCTCACCTCCATTCAGACGACGACAAATCTTTCTTTCATCCGACCAGTGACGTTCCGGATCAGGATACCAAGAACATTTATCCTTTTCTCTACCGATTTTGTTTTCAAAAAACGATAATCGATTTGATTTTCATTCTCATTTTCTAGAGATTTTCAGATTTTTTTGTTTGCAGATCTCAAAAACTAAGATTTTTGTTTTCATTTTCGTGTATATGTCTAGAAAAAACGAATGATTATAAGGTTTTCAATTTTACAAGTACGGAAAAATGTATTATTTTTCTTGAAATTTTTAAAAAAAAAAATCAGGTTTGGAGAAATATCTTGTTCTTGAGTAATTTTGTTCTAGTTTGAGTGGTTTGGAAAAAGTTGAGTTTGTGGAAAATTCATTGTTCATGTTTGAGATTGCAAATCTGAAAAAATGAGTGTTTTTTTGTCAAATTTGAAAGAAAAAAATGTTTGACCGGGGCTGCCTCCATCACTCTCAAATCCCAGAAACCCTAACCCTAACCCCCATTGGTGCTCTTGTGCTCATTTTAGTAAACTTGTGGTGGTTTTGAAGAAAGAAGAAGAAGAGGTGTAATACCTGGTTCCTGGTATGTATTTAAATTTATAAATTATTCACTTTTATAGAGAAACTCGACGAGTTGGGAGCCCCAGACTCGTCGAGTAGGGATGAATTTCTACGAGGGTTAAGAAACCTACTTGACGAGTTGAGAGGCCTCAACTCGACGAGTAGGCTGGCAGAATGAAACTCTAATTTTCAAGGTTTTGCACCCTATTTAAACACCTTAACCCCCATAAGCTGGCCTCATTTCCAGCTTCCACTGTCCAAAATCCTAAGCCATTTTGGTGATTGTGAGCTAACTTTGTGCATTCTTGTTGAGTTTGAAGAAAAAGAAGCTTGAAGGAGGAGCAAGGACGTGTAGACGGAGAGTAGATCCAGAAGTTGGGCTTCATTTATGGTTCATCTGAGGTATAAAGCTCCTACCTTGTCTATAACATGCTTAGATCTAGTTTTAAGATGTTTTCTTCATGTTTTGGTCCAAGTATGTTGGTTTTTGGGATTTGGACGTTCCATGTGGGCAAACCCTTCAGATCTAGGGTCTTGAGGGGACTTCATGGCATAAAGGTGCCAACTTTATGGCCATGGAAGCCCCATGCAACTTTTAGACCACCTTTTTGGTCTTCTAAGCTCTAGTAGGTCATGCATGCAAGTAAAGATGGGAGCTTTACGTGACCGAAATGTCCCTAGAGTCCAGATCTATGACCTCATGGACTATCTTGAAGTTTTGATGGCTTTTAGAGTTGGATCTTAGCCATTTGGAGTTAGGGTTAGAGTTCTTTTCTCCTAGGGTGGGTTTTAATGGGTAAAGTTGGAAACTTTACCCTCCTAGGTGTGTTTTCGACCCAGATATGGAATATGGGACTTAGATTTGAAGAATAATGGCTTAATGCCTTAAGAAGGCTTAACAGACTGAAGAACTCGATGAGTTCATAGATGAACTTGATGAGTTACGTCGAATCGTCCCTATTCTGTTAAAAGGAAAAAACTCGACGAGTTCGAGGATGGACTCGACAAGTTGATTTGAGATGTCTTGATTCTGTTGATAGGAGGAACTCGACGAGTTCATGAAAGAACTCGACGAATTGGATCGCGACTTCAGGATTTTATGATTTATGGAACTCGGCGAGTTGAAGAGCCAAATCGGCGAGTTGAGTCAACTCGGAATGTTGACTTTGACTTTGACCAAGGTGTTGACTTTGACCAAAGTTGACCCCTAAGGGGTTATGAGTATGAAAGGGGTAATTAAAGGAAATCTTTTATGTGTAGGGGTTTGAGTTGGGTTAATTCACAGTCGAGGATTGTTCAGCTACTTTACAACATTTGAGGTGAGTTACCTTCCCGGTAGCAGTGGGTCTAAGGCACCAAGGTCGACCCACTAGTAGGAGTTTGTAGTTAGATGATTGTCTTTGTGATAATAGTCTGGTATTCCACTATCTGTTATGATTTATATGCTAGTATGCTATGATATTATGTGATAGTGGTAGGAGGTGGAATAGACCACGTATCCGGTTGATAAACCGGAGGGTAGGTCGGGCACCCAGATATGCCTGACAGTATGTTTATGTATGGTTATGATATGACATTATGTGGTAGTGGTAGGGGTGAAATAGACCTCGTAACTGGTTGAAATAAACCTGAGGGTAGGTCGGGCACCCAGATATGCCTGACATGGGTAGGTCGGCACCCAGGTAATGCCTGACAGGGTAGGTTCGGACACCCCGGTATGTCTGACATGGGTAGGTTGAGCACCCAGGTATGCTCAGCAGGGTAGGTTGGGCACCCAAATATTCCTGACAGTATGTTTATAGTATGGTGTGTGGTATGATGAGGTAACTCACTAAGCTTCATCTTCGATTGCTTTCAGGTACTTTTCTCTTACTTTTGGTTCAGCTTCTTCTTTCTTTTCCTTATTCTTCTCTCTGAAAGGAAAGGGGTCGGCATGATCGCAGCGCATCACACTATGTTTTCTGCACATGAGATCTTTGGGAATGAAACTTTGATGTTGTTTTATTTTGACATGTTTTGACTATTGACATATTGGTTTGGATATGGGATGATACTATGGATGTTTTTAGACTATTGGTTTTATAATTACTTATTTAAAAATGAAATTTTTGGTATTAAATTTTGGGATGTTACAAGAAGAGTTGGTGCTTTGGTTCAGCAAGTGATCCTTTCCTCCTTTGGTATGCATCTTCTGGACTCCTTGTAAGTCATCAAGCTTCAACATTTTTGTGTTCTTCTTCACAGATCTAGGTTTTGCAGAATGTTTTGGTCCTTTTGGATTGGTTTGAGTGGTTATAAGACATAAAGTTTGCAACTTTATGGTTTATATATGTCCCTTAAATGTGATATCTTATCTATGTCCCTTAATTGTGATATCTTTAGGTCATATTATTCCCCTTCTGACCTAGTTTGAAGAGGACATACATAGGTCATGCATGTCCATAAATTTTGGATTTTTATGGACCATTAGGGGGTCCTAGGAGCATTTTGGAGAAGTTGGACTAAGGACCTTCTGGATTAAGTGCTTAATGGTTGGGTCTTTGCTATTTTTTAGCCTTATGAAACCTAGGGTTTGAGATTTTGCTCCTTTGGGTGGACTTAATGGATAAAGTTGGAAACTTTATCCTTCTAGACCATATTTTGGACTAGATCTGAGCTTTGAAGCTCTTGGGGCTGAAGGAAGCAGCTTAACCCATTAAGATGTTTTGAACCCAGTGCCCACGGTGTGGCCCTTGGGGGTGAAGGAAGTAGCGTCTATTTTGTCGTTTGGGGGCCACGACATGGCAAGTCAATTTTTGTCGTTGACTTTGACCATTGACTTTTGACTT